TATGACGTCGGTGTGACAGTCTAATGACCGGGAAAAGCCCCTGTCGATTTGTGCTTGGCTTTCTTGTTGGATTTTGCGCAGCTCGTGTTCGCCACACTAAACAGCACGGATTTCTTAGACGGAGGGAGATAAGGGCGGAGATAGTGCCATCTGCAAACTCCAGCCCTTTATTTCAGACTCCATATAAATCCATAAAAGTAATTTAAATACGCTTATAGCCATTCGATACTCAGAGACCGAGATACCTCATTCGAATTTTAATCACCGGTTAACTGCGATATTTAACGCATATCAGCAATTGAAATATTTGGCGGCCGGCGGTGTTATAAGAGAACCCTTTAATCCGATCTCCGGTCCAAATAAAAACCTTAGTCAGGACTCTTAGCTACTTTACTTATCACATTCATAACATCGCGATATCGAGGGAGATGTAGCTAAATGTCAACTTAGGAAATTTCGATATCTTTGACTTCGAAATCCGGGCACGAAACAAACACCACTTGAGAATCTGAACTATGCAAAAATCATGCATCATTTGATGAAATGGCCACCCGACGATTGACATGTACGTACATTTATACTATCTAGTAGTTTAATAGGCTGGTCGGAACGCTCGTAATTGACTCCTACTTTTTGCCCAATACCTTGTCGAGGACTTTAATCAAGCCCTCTACCTCCTCGACAGTATTATAAAACAACAGGCTAACTCTCACAATGCCTTCGTCCGGCTTCTCCAGTCCAAGCAAATCTACCAGTCTCTTAGCATAAACATGGCCCCAGCGGATACCATATTTCAAGTCCTCCTTCTCAACTGCTTCTACCAGATCCCTACTTCCCCACCCTTTAACCGAAAAGCTTAACACTGGGACTCTCTTATCGCTACTTGTCTCTTTAGTTCCGTAGAGGGTTACGTCAGACCGACTAAGAACCCAGTCGATAAACGTCTTCGACAGCACTTCTTCTTGTTTCTTGATCCCATCCCACGTTTCGGGGGTCAAAAAATATACCAACGGGGGCAATGAAGCCGTGAGCTCATAGTTCCCTCCAGCTAGGTTAAGCTTGTCGAACAAGGTCTCCGTAGGGTTAAAAAAGTGAGTAAGTGGAGTGATATACTTCTGCGTGCGCGGGGCAGCATAAAGAAGTGAAATGTGTGGGCCATAGACCTTATACCAACTAAAGACGAAAAAGTCCACTCCGAGTGCTTTAACATCAATTGGACGGTGAGGAGTATATGCAACCCCATCAACGGCTACCAAAGTATCTGGGTATTTCTCCTTGATGAATTCCGCATAGGTTTTCACATCATGGATCGTACCGGTGATGTTAGAACACGCTGTGAATGCTACAACCGCAGTCTTTGCCGATAACAGAGGTTCGAGGTCGGACAATTGGAGCGTCCATTCGTGGGATGGACTTGGTTTCCAAAACTTGACTGTGTGGCCCTGGTTTTCGGCTAGTCGGAGCCACGGAGCGACGTTGGTCTCATGGTCACAGGCTGAGACGATGATTTCACTGCCACTTGGAAATTTCAAAGCGGAGGAGAGGTTGTGTAGAAGCTGGGTCGCAGCACTTCCGAGGACTGGATATCAACATATGTTAGTACAACGACAATTAAGAACCGAAGCTACCAAAATTCACTCACCAACTTCTCCGGGATCCGCGTTGATGAACTTAGCAGAAGCAAGAAGCCCAGCAGCTACAAGTTCATTTGATTTTTGCCCGACGACATACGAAGTTCCAAGTTGGACGTTCGTGTTAGACAAATAATGTGTTATCCTGTTGACCCAAGGCACATGTTAGCCATTGCAGGGACCAGACGCGAGCTTCCTCTCTCGACGACGCTAGCGAAGTACTTATGATAAACTTGCGCTTACGAGTCAATCACAACATCCAACGTTTGGCTACCGCCGGCATTATCCATATACACCTGGCCCGTCCCGACAACTGATGGGAAACGGTAGCGAGCTTCGGTTGCCCAAGCAGTCTGCATGTTTACGTTTGGGACAGGCCTTCGGTCGGGAACACAGTAATTAAGTGTTTTGAGGAGGAAATAATGATTGTAGCGATAAGGGTTGTAATGAAAACCCCGCAAAATCAAGAGGTTTAAATATGTGGAAAACTAACGCTTCTTCTGCAAAGGCATATTGCCTATAACACTGGCAATTAAGTTGGTATTTATGGGAAATGGCATACCGGCAGAATCTTAATATCACATTTGAAACCCAGTGTCAATCAATTGTTCCTGAGGGGTACAGCCGGCAATCTACGACGGCACCCAGAGAACCACCATTTGCACCAGGCCTTCCACGCCATATCTACAAAGGCCAATTAGTAATATTAACAAGTACATCTGGTGGATCCCTGCATGGCTCTCCGCCAAGAAAGGCTCATGATCGAGTATTATTGGTTCGCTTGTAACCGTCTGTTCGACGACAGAACGTTGCATTGCGTAAGATAGCTACCGATTGCTGCGCAGCTGAGCTTGATGAAAAAGGCAGCACTGCACATGCTCATACGGAAACTTTCCGCCATGGTGATGGTAAATGGATAACCGGGATATGGCTCCATAACGGGCATAAAATGGCCCGGATACGACCCAGGCGTCCTAGAGAATCGCCCATGGAAAGAATGTTTCGAGTAACACTTAGCTAAGCTTAGCTGCATCTGGGGTGCTTTATACATAAATTAGCATATACCATGGCGCGGAGTCACACAGTACCAGCTAAACAACCCCCACATGACAATCCTCGAGAAAACTATCATGACATCCGGAATTTGTGTACTCTGAACACAAACGCGTGCTTAGGACGGAGTCGACAACTCAATTGCAGTAACCAAATATATAACATCTGACTTGTGGAAAAGGTACAATAAAATATCCCTCATTGCTCTAGTTAGCATCTAACTTAAGGGCCTCCTGGAAGGAAGGAATTACTTTATTCGAAGCGTCCTTGATCGAGTTCTCTAATTCGTCAATTGTGTGCTTCTGTTTCGTGCCCCCACGCCTTTTTCAATTCCCGGAGTGTCAAAGCTCTCGCGAAACTCTTTTTCCGTCGGCGCCACCTTACAAAGGGATTTGAAAGATGAGGGTTTGCCTTCTCCGAGCGTCGGTAGCCGGGAGCAAAGATGTGGGCTATTCAGATATCGAGAAATATACGGATAGGCACACTATAGAACAACGGTTTATTGGAGAAGACCGTATCAAACGAGACCTAAACTTCGCTGCCGCAGAGAGCTTTGACGTTTATTTCAACCTTTTGCCCTGGGAGTGGCACAATGGACCCCGCAAAGCGCTAGCCGTGCTTGCTACGAAATATATCGAAGATATATCGATCCCTGTGATTGGACTACCAAGTCGGATCTTAGAAAGATGTGCTTCGGATGCTCGAGGCCGTATTTTGCTCGAAAATGTCGCTGGGGCAGAAGCAACGACAGCGGAATGGGATGAATACGCTTGCACGGTTATCGAACTCGACAACACACCAATTCCACTATCTCCGGTTTTCTGCAACACTGGGACACTCTTAGACCCAAAGGTGAATCCGGATCTCCACAGCGCTATTCGGAAATCGGCCGAAGATGCTTTCTATACAAACAACTTGCATGGTTCCCCTTGGTGTACATTCACCATCCTCTCAAGGAGCGAGCAAGAGCCAACCCACCCTGTGCAATTGTTAGAGGTAAGTCTAATGCCAAAGGCAATATTCACGCAATCTGCAGATGCAACAAATCCGACACCCGAAGCTTGTGCGATCCGTGAGTCGTTCCCAGGAGGCTACCGTTCGTTCATTCACTCTTCGATAAGTTCATACTTTTTAAAACGTAACAGGGCTTCTGACATTTCTCGCAAAATCGCGGGGCGGTATGATCTTGTCGCTGCCCATTACGATGCCGGAACAACTGGGCATTACCAAGAACTTCTTAAGAAAATCGTACAGACATACAATTTTGATGGACTTGTGCTAGACATCGGGTGTGGAACTGGGCTTTTAGCTCGAATTCACGGCAACCCCCAAAACCTTAGCAGATTTATCGGGATGGATGTGTCTCTAGAAATGAAAACGGAATGCCTCCGCCATGGGCAATACGAATGTGTTTTTGTCGGGCCTATGCAGCGGCTTTTAGTAGCCTATGCCGACCCCGCCGATCATATCGTATGTTTCGGCGCATTGCATTATCTTGACGTTAATGAGTTGAGCATGGTTCTCTCCCGTGCATTCCAGTTGGCAAGATTATCAGTTACCTTTACCATCGACGAGATTCCCGATTCTTACAAGGAGGCACAAAGTCTTAGAGGAAGCGGATATATGGCTGGGTCTAACCACCTTAGTGAGATTGAAAGCTATGGCACACCAGTTGGGTGGAGGAAGGTGGATCGTTCGCGGAATATGGGCTGGGTTTCGCCCACGACTGGGGTCGAAGTATACACAAGCATCTTCAGATTTGAAAGGGCGATATAAATATCATAATCAGAGGCCATGCCCGTGCGGAGGGCGCTTGTACATACATAGTCGGGCGATATCTGAGTATTTCATGTACATGGATAGACAAATATTTATATTTACCTAAGGGACTGAACGACTATACGACAGATAGGGAGGAAAGAAGTACTTACTCGCGTAACACAATGTTTATTCTTGAATGTTTTCTCGGTTACCAGCACCATGATGTTAACCATAATACTAGCTCCGAACGCATCAAATTTGAAAAAAAAAAAATATGAATGCATTAATGAAAATTGGTATCGGATGGCCAGAACGTCTTCTTAAAATTTGTTTTCTAGTCTCATCGATCGGACTGAGTAGGAGCCTCCTTATGACAATAGTCCGATTAATATGAGCATAGCTAGTTGATACCTATTGGTTCGCAAATGCGTTACGAGACTGTAGTCTCATAGTGAAGTCTCGAAACTGTTGCACGTGTTGTTGTTGCATGATGCTGGTGTGAAGCGTAGACACGTTCATAATGTCAACTCTGCATGATTTCAACATCCAAAGGCGTCCGATATGGTGTAGTGGTTAACATCGTTCGCTCTCATTCGAACTCATACTTCGAGTTGATCCGAACAGCCCCGGGTTCGATTCCCGGTGTCGGAATTTCTTTTTTGTTCTTTGTCCTCCCGCCCGGAGCGACCCAACAAAGTAATATTTTGCTCCCAGTACATCAAACGCGTGTTGGCCCAGTGCAACACAAACCTTCGCACTTAACGAGTCGACACTTCGAACTAACCACGTCGACGTCGCGTACATCCAAACCTGTTCACTTTCACGAATGGGCACATAACAAGCAGGATGTCTATATTGTCGAAAAACACTCCCTTTTTTGTATTCTTGATAGTTTTGGGGATTAGGCTTCAGAATGCGCTTACAATTGCTACATTCTTCCAGCCGGATGAGTACTTCCAATCTCTTGAGATTGCTGCTAACCAGCGGTCTGGAAGTTCTGGATATGTGACTTGGGTATGCTATCTTATTCATAATCCATGGATGTAGGACCAACAATTACTAAGTAATATTATTTTCAGGAATGGCACCATGCACTACGATCAGTGCTTTACCCTCGAATCTTTCAAGGCGTTTACAGCCTCGTGGATGTAATATCAAATGCATTGGAACTATCGCCGGCCACGACGGCGGATCTACTCGTTGTTGGTCCCAAAATCATGGGAGCGATTACTGCAGCAACTGGAGATATTTATACAGGGCTCCTAGCAAGGAAGATATACGGCGAAGAAGCAGGGACACATGCTGTAAGATCCGTTCTTTACAATAGATGGCTCATTGGTGGATGAGCATGCATTCGTGCAGCATAAAGAGCTTGGTGTATAGCTTGAAGTGCCTGTTCTATTAGTGCTAACATTATCTTTAAGCTGCTTCTAAGTCTTTTCAGTGCCTGGAACTGGTTCTGCTCCACAAGGACCTTTTCCAACGGTCTCGAGACGACCTTAACAGTAATGGGCATGTACTACTGGCCCTGGAAGACCTACAAACTCACCGACCTAACCCTCGCCACAATCTTCGCGGCGATTTCTTTCACCGTCCGTCCAACAAACGGCCTAATAACATGGGCGATCGGACCTCTCATCCTCCAACAGCTCCCATCATTCCCTCAGCGTCTCGGCGCAGTATTTCATATAGCCTTCGTCAGCGTCCTCGTCCTCTCATTAAATGCTTTGATAGATTATAACTACTACGGCCGTATAACCTTCCCATTTGTCGAATTCTACCGTATGAATGTCTCACAATCAATCTCCTCATTCTACGGCACGAGTCCTTGGCATTACTATTATTCTCAGGGCCTTCCATTGCTACTCACAGGATATCTACCCTTAGCATTCTACTCTTTCTGTGCTGGTCTTAATGACCCATCAAGCTATTCTCCTACGACACATTTGACAAGGTTGCTGGGTATTGTGCCCATTGCTTTTATGACTACCCAGCATAAGGAAGTACGGTTTTTATACCCTTTGTTACCGATTTTTCATGTTTTGATAGCTGGCGTCGGAGTTCCGGGGCTACCTAAGAAAGGGACAAAAAGATGGGTTATGGTAGCTGCGATTTTGGGTATTAATATCCCTATCGCATACTATACGGGATACGTCCACCAGCGTGGGGTGGTTGATGTTGTGAACTGGCTGAGACAAGAACACTACTCCGGAGGGACTAAAGAAGTTGTTAGCCTAGGGGGTGCGAGAGTAGGATTTCTGATGCCATGCCATTCAACGCCATTTGGAAGCTACATGTGGGACGCGGCTATGAAAGACGGAAAACCCAGTGCTTGGTTTCTAACATGCGAGCCACCTATCGGAATCCCAGTCGAGGAGAGGCATACATACTTCGACGAGGCGGATGATTTCTATTATCACCCTACGGACTTCTTAGCCAAAATGTTTGGAAGACCGCCGGTAAACGACGACGACGAAGATGGAAACGAGTTGGGAGGGACTATGAAATGGCCTGATAAATTGATAACATTCGAGGGTACGGCAGAGATAGTACAGGAATATCTAAACATTGGGGCTAAGAACGCGAGATATGTGGAGTGTAAGCGGTTTTTCAACAGCCATTTCCATGATGACTGGAGAAGGGATGGGGATGTGATTGTCTGGTGTCTACGGTAACAGATATCTATATTATCCCATGGAAAAGATATATTGGATGGATCTGTAAGTATAATAGATAGAATATAGTGGTACCCGCATGTATTCTCCCTAAGTTAACAGCGACGAGCATCTCAGAACGTAAAATCATAACGAGCTATCCCAAACGCTCCAACCCATTTGTGTACGGTCATCACAAGGTAAAACAGGAGAATAAAGGGCTAAAAGCAAAAAAAAAAAACAATCCATTTGCATCCATAAAGGAACGTGAAGGCGTGGGAATAAACCAAGTGGTCCACGTTTACAGAATCTCACTAAACCGACTCGATCTCTTCTCGCGAGTGCTATCCATTGATGCCCTACTCGTTCTCCCTTCCGCAGCGACAGCAGGCATTACGATCGGTGCCTTCAGCTCTTCAATTGGGGTGGGCGGCTCAACCTGTGTTTGAGGGGGCTCCATTGAGGTTGTTGGGACGGCCACGCCAGTTCCTCCCTGAGCAAACTCCTCGAATGACTTCTTGATCATCCCCGAGAGCTTATTCCCAAATGTCTCCCTTCCTTCTCCCTCCTCTGACCCAATAGTAGGCCCAGCCGCAGCTGCAGACGAACTCGCCTCTCCAAAGGTCTTTTCTGCGACGCCGCCGCTTTCAAGTGAAGAATCCGAACTTGTCGAGTATCTCCTGCTGGTCTCTGGAACAAATGCCGGCATGCCCAGACCTTCATCATCGAGACCAGGGTTATACGTCGCAGACGTCAACCCTTTATACCGTGGCTCCGCCGTATATAGATCGCCGGAGGTTGTGCTTGATGAATCTGAATCCACATATCGTGCTCCAGCCGCAACACTAGTGGTAGCATCGATAGCCCCCAGTCCAGCTCCGCTCACAAATGCAGTTCCAGCGGGCTCGACTCCATCATCTGACGAAACGGCACTAACTGTGCCCGCTAAAGCTACATCTCTTGCGGAGTTCGGACGTTCGGGAGATGAAATTGATGAAATACTGTGGTTGTCGGCCGGGTCGAACTCATCAACCTCAGCGAGATTCGGCATGGCTGCTACTTCCCCACCGCCACCATTCCCCTTCTCTTTCCTCTTCGTCCCAGGAACCCTTTTGGCAAGCCTTTTCTGAAGACTCCCAAACCAACCCTTTTCTTTCTTCGCGGCTTCATGCATCTCTCGTTCCCGGTCTACACGATCATGGCCGGCTTGTGACATGGGACGTGGCTCAAGTTCCTCCATATCAGAGCTAGAATCAGCTCCTACGCCTGCACTCTCCTCGAGATTCGAAGTTTCAGCGGGTAACGGTATAGCAGCGGCCTTTTGCGTTTGCTTCTCAGTCCTTAATCGTTCCTTTTCTTCCCTTTGAGCTTTCTTGAGCTCTGCTTTTCGTTCACGTTCTTCGGCTTTCTCAGCTTCCCGACGGGATTTTGCTGCCGCCTTTTCCAAAACTATTAAATACCCACCAAATTAGTACCAGGTTCTCAAGGAATATAATCGAGGATTCTAACCTTTCGCCTTCTTAGTTTCCGCTTTAACACCAGCCACCCTCTCCTGCTCGGCTCTCCTTTCTCGATCAGCCGTTTCTTTCTCAACTCTCAAAGCCTCAACTCTCGCCCTTTCTTTCTCAGCCTTCACATTGATCTCTTCTAATATTGGCTGTACATTCCCACGAGCGATTCTCTCTAAATCTTCTTGGTCATACCACAGCCCTCCACCCATATTAATCTTCCCCTTCTTCTTTTCACTCTCCTCTGCACGCTTCCTTTCGTATTCCGCACTCAGCATCTTGGCTTTCGCATCCCACTCCGCCTGTAGATGTTTAGGTACTCGCCCTTGATCTTCGGCAACTTTGGTCTCCAAGTCTTGCATTCGAGCCTTTACATTTTTCTCGGCTACGGCGAGGAGGGCGAGGTAATCCCGAGCTTGGCGGTCCTTATCAACTGAATCCATCTGCTTCGTAAGCTTCGCGGTGTCAGATTTTATTTTAAGAGAGCGGGCGTAGTCTGTTGCGTCTGGTTGGCGGCGAGGAGCTGCAGCAGTTGTTGTGGCAGCAGTAGCAGCAGCTTTGGAACCCTGGGTCGGCTTCGGGGTGCTAGATGGAGCAGTTGAAGAACGGGCACGGGTAGTAGGTGCTTTGCCGCCAGCTTGCCAGCTGGGAGGTAGACCAGATGCTTTACGAGCCCGATCGTGCTCTGCTTGAAGACGGGCAAGACGTTCAGACGCAGCCTTGCGAGCAGCTTCTTCGAGATGTGGGTAATATCTTATCTGCCTTTCATCACTATCTCCAGATAGAACGGAGTGTAAATCACTAGATGCAGCGATAGAAGCCGCTTGCGATGAAGACTTGCGGTTTAACTTCGGTTCCGCGGGTGAGATTTTCTTCGGCGAGGTAGGAATATGTGAATAATAGCTGCCAGGTGGCATTGATGTACCCGCTGACATATGTGTCCTTGTGGTACTTTTGGTAGGAGGAGGTGATTTGCTCATATTTTTCGCCATAGATATACTGGCCGCACGAAGGATATCGGACATGTTCTTATCAGTCTGCGATTGCGGAAGTGCTGATCTAGGTTGTGAAACGGCGGAAAGACGATTTTGTGCATTCTGAGCCGCGAGAGCGTTGATCTTGTTTATGTCGTAGGCAAGTGTAGGTGGTGATTTGGGTGCGGGTTTGGAGAGTTTTTTGGGCGAATTTGCAACCCCGGCTGCGGCGAGGGCATTTGCAGTTGATTGCGGACGCTTTGATTCCGGCATTGTGTGCGCTCTTTGTCTCACGCTTGTTGCGGCCTGGGAAGCCGATTTGGAAGGGGTAGAAGGCCGCCAAATCTCTGGTGGTTTCGAGTCACCGGCTAGAAGGGCAGCAGCCGCGGCAGTAGGCAGAGGCCCTGGATTCCAGGGTTCTGGCGACTTTATATTGTTTGCTAGTGATGCAGCTGCACCCGCAGCGGGCAAGCGATCCGGTTTCCACAGTTCTGGGGATTTCGAGTGCGAGGCAG